TTTCTTAAATACTTGGGGTAGGAAACATAAGGATGCCAGAGGTTAGGCTGTGGGTCACCCCAGGCCTGCCACCTACCAGAAATGTGACATTGGGCACGTTGCTTCATCTCTCTCTGTGCCTCAAGTTGCTCCTCATACAGGGCGGGTAAACATTTTAGTAGATGCTATCGACTGCCTCCCTCCGCCATTTTTATTTTTGCTAGCAAAGCCCTGCTGCTACTGTGGAAGATGAGCCCCTGGCTAATTCTCTGCTAGGGAACCATGGGGCCCCGTGGAGGGCTTATGCCCCAGTCCTGGCAGACAACACCCAGGGGCCTTCATGCCTGTGGCTCAACAGAAAGGCTCCCCCACAAGAAAGAGAGACAGCGCTACGGGCTGGTCATCGGTGTGATCGGCAGGCCCTGCCGGCCACAAACAGAGAGCCCAGCCCAGGGAGTCTCTCATGTGCATCCCGCTCACTGTGCTCCGCCTGGTCCTGACGTGCTCCCCAGAGAGGAAGGGAAGAGCCAAAGCCCCTGGCTCAGGCGCCTCGCTAATAGAATTAGGCACATTTCTTTTGGGGGTGGCCAAGCAAGCCGTGTACTCAGCTGCTAGAGGCAAAGGACACATAAGATGCGTCATCAGGGACTCTGATGTGTCAGCTATGGCAGCTAGCACTTCTCCTTCGGTCTTCAGGGCTGAGCATGTGAAAAGGGGACTATTATTTGCACAAAAAATCCAACTTCATTAGGGCAGATTTGATCATTTTTGGTAACTTTGAGCCTCCCTCCCATGTTTCTGTCATTTCCCCCCTCCTTTGAGGCTATGATCAATGTCAGCTGGTAAGACCTCAATCAGCGAGACGTCACATGGCATGAAGGCCCCCACCCTCTCTGGGGGAGAGCAAGGTGCCCACCTGAGGGATGGGACCCCCGATGGTCTTCTTTGATCCCTTAATATCACCTGCTGCATGGAATTCCACAGGCTGTGCAGAAACCCTGCGTCAGAAATTGCTGTTTCTATTGCTTTTCACTTTGTGCAGATTTCCTTGGCCATTCTCAGCCTGGACGCTGCACAGCCAATTCCCTGTGGAGCACTAGGACTGGACACTAATGAAGTCACCACCGAGCTCCCTGGGGCTTCAAGCAGGGAGAGAAGCTGGGAGGCGGCAGCTGAGTTCCATCGGCTGAGGCCCCAGCCTGCAGATCACAGCCTCCTGCAGGACGCGGCTCGTGTGCTCATGACTCAGTGCCGGGACATAATTGCACACACATCTGTTTTCTTTTTCTTCTTATCCAGTTATCTGCAGCTCTGAAACACCCACCCTCTTTTGCATGATTTGCAACCAGGAAAGTTGTCCATGTTGTCATGTGCTTGTAAATCCGCAACCAGATTAGCTTCTCACTCTGTCCAGCTGCCCCGGCTGGGGGTTCAGCGTCTACATTTTGGCCCTACTGAACATTCCATCTTGGGCTTCTAGGTCCTCATGTGCTGGCCGTACATGAATGACATCATATTTAAGGTGTGCTGATGTTTTTGTCACTCACCAAGAGGAGGCAAAATAGAGGATTCGAGAGGCTCCTTCCCAGATGGGCTAAGCTCGCTGGCAAGGTGCATGTGGACAGTCTCTGCCGGGGCTGGTCCCTGTCTTCCCGCTGCACGAGGGTGAGCAGGTGTGGCATAAGGATTCTAGCCCCCCAGGCCAACCTCATCAGCCATCTCTCTCTACTGTTGTCTCAAAACCCCTTGTCTAACCTTCACTGGTATGTGATGGCACTTAATTTGGCCAAAGTGTGACAAGGTCACAAATAAATATTCCCTTTGGGACTTTTCTCACTGCCCATCCGGTCCTAAAAATTCCACACTTTCAAACAACTATAAATCAATCCCCTTTCAGCTCTTTTCCATCTTTCCCTTTGGGCTGCTGTATTTTTCTTCACATCACCATCTGACATTATTTTATATATTGAGACTGTATCTCCTTCTCCGTTTGCTGCCGGCTCCATTCCTAGTGTCTGGAATTAGTACGCTGGGTGTTATAGGAGCTCAACCAGTATGATGATCAACTGCATGGATCCATTCACTAAATATTAATTAGCATATGTCCATGATGAGTGTGGAGTACTGCGGAGGATGTGAATAATGATCAAATGCTACAGTTTATAAATGGCTGGGCACAGACCCTGTGCCACACGTGTGTTGCACATACATTACCATGCTGAACTGAGGAGCAGTGGAGCATGTGGTCAGAAAGCTGGGCTCTCCTGTCTAACCACCTGGGTTCAGTTCTAGCCCCAGCAATCGCTAGATCTGCGACTTTGAGCAGATTGCTCAGGCTCCCTCTGTGTCGGTTTCCATATCTGTCAATCCCCCTGCATCTGAGGATAATATTAGTACCTGCTCCACTGAGATATTGCCTAGACTAAATGAGATAATGCAGGTAACACACATAGAAAAGTGTCCAGTGTGGGATACAGGCTCAGCAAAGGCAGCTGTTACTAATGCTTTCAGCAGCTTTACTAACCAGGAACCTTAGGATCCCCATTTGGAAGATTAGGAAACTAAGCAAGTTTATATGAAGATGGAGTCAAACAAGACCTACCCTACCCTCAAGGAGTCTGCAGTTTAGTAGCTGGGAGGAGAGACTGCACAGAAAACTCTGCTGTGCGTTGAATCACACTTAAAAAAAAATGTGTCAAATGCAGACAGTGTGCTTCAGATCCCATTTCTTACAGAAGGACTGGCCCCAAAGCCTACACCCAGGTCACAAAACTGTATTTCATGATGTCCAGAATGCCTTGGACCAACATCTGTGTCATCCAAGGGAATTCCCAGTTGTGCAAGGACACAGCTCTGTGTGACCTGTCAAGTTGTGTCAAGCATTTTACCTAAGTAGGATATTTAAAGAATGTTCTGTGAATGCAAAAAGCTCCAATAACACATATGACAACCTAGTAGCATCTCAGTGATGGTTCAGGATGGGTGAAGTGTTGCAATTCATTCACAGGCTAACTTTAGTGATGGGGTTTCCTAGCAGCACCTAGCTAATGGGCATTCATTGACCGTGTTCTGTTTCTTCTTTAAGGGTGCTGGACTAGGGACCAGAAGACAGACAGCATAGTTCCCGTGTGCTTTTTAGTCCTTAAGCTGACCCAAAATGCTCCTTGTCAGGCCAGGCTCCTTACTATAGTCTCACCTAGAAGGAGCTCCATGCCCTGGATCGCAGGTTGAAACCTGCCTTAGACTAAAGGCCCATGGGTGGGGGTGTGGGGGGGTAATCATTACCTGGCCCTAGTCTTTGAATCTTGCCAATGGTGGTATTTATATTCTTAAAATGTGGCTGAGCAGACAGGCATTTCATAGTGGTGGACTTCATTTGAAGAGTTAGTCATCAGCTAACAGTATCTGCAGATGACTCCATGGAGACTGCTAGGCAGATGGCCAAGGGCTGGTCTCCTCTTTATCTCAAGGCCATCAACGGCTAGGGGCTCAATGGGCCCTGTTGAGGGTGAGGAGGTAAAGGTTAGTAAGAGTAGTCAACATAAATGAGTACTTCCTGTGGACCATGCATCGTGCACAGCTTATTTATAAGACTCCTCATGAATAGGAATTATTGCCCCCAGTTTACAAAAAAGCAAATTGAGTCTCAGAGAGGTTAAGTAATCTGCCTAGGTCACACAGTGGGGCTGTTTGATGTCTCATGTCTGGGGTGTCTGATTCCAAATTTCACACTCTGGCATTGGTCCATAGTTGGTCCACAATTCTCCCTCCTAGAAAAACAGGAAAGAAGAGAGCCTTTGAAGAGGAGGAAAGGGAGGAGAATGAGGGGCCAGGAGGATCAGAAGAAGAAAGGCTTGCAGGTGTCCAGGAGTGAGGTTGGTAGCCCTGAAGATTTGCCCCAGGACTCCTTCAAGAGCCTGAGGCTTTTGGGCAGGGGTGTCAGTTTGCGGCCAGCTGCAGAACTCCAAGGGGGAAATCAAGGAGGGGCGGCCACTGATGAAGCTGCAAAAGCTACTCTGTGTGTTCTGCCTGAGATACCAGCAGGACTCTTTAGGTTGCAAGTGACAGAAAACCTAATCAAGCCACCTTAACAGAGACATAAATATTGGCTCACTTAACATAAAAGTGCAGAGTAGATGGCTTCAGGAAAGGCTGTGTCCAGGTGCTCCAGCAATGCTTCTCTCCGTTTTCTCTCCTTTTTCAGGCAGGCACTCCCTAATGAAGGTGGTGATCTGCAGTCCCCAGCTTCTGTCCAATGGACATAAAAGGACAAGTCCAGTGGAAAGAAATGCCTCCCTCACGAGTTCCAACAGAGATGCTAGGACAGGTGGCACTCACTGTGATTAGCTTAGCCTGGGGCATGAGTCCATTCCAGAAACAATCACATGGGCCACAGGGGGATGTGATACACCCGTATACAGACAGAGCTCCAGAACTCCGTGGACTGCGGTGGGTCTCCAAGGGAAATTTCCAGAAAAAAGCGTTAGGCATGCTAAAGAGAGAAGACAAAAGCATTGAGCATCCTCTACAAGGATTTCTTATTATATAAAAATCTCTCACATTGTCCACTCTCTGCCATTTCTGTTGTGACAATCCTACAATTGCAGGAATTCTGCCATAAGCCCTAACTGCTGGCCTGCTGGCAATCTCATAAACCAAAAGGCAGAATGTTCTCCATAAAGGGCTGCTCTGCTGTTACCCCACCCTACCACACAATAGTTTCTCCTTTGTTTATAACGTAATGCGTGACCGTATTGGAAAATGTAAATGGTACTGTGCCGGGAAGCCGGGGCTGAGGTACTGAGTGAAGAACACGTAGGTATGACTGGCTGGATGTTCCCAGAGCAGCAGGGAGCTCCCTCCGCATCCAGGCTCCCACACTGGGGAAGTGAAAACCACAGGGTCGTTTTGATGGCAGATGGAGTTTCAGTACACCCACACAAAGGAAGTCACAAGATTCATTATTTACAGATCCCAGACACGGGGGTGCAATGAGCAGGGGGAAGGGCCATCCTCCATGCCAGGCTGCCGGGGAGCAGGAGACAGAGTGGGGTAGGTGCACCCATTCCCTTGAAGATGGTTGCTGTGGAGGTCACTGAGTTCCACGGCTCAGTCCTCAGGGGTTATTTTAAAAGGCTCCTGGGAAAAGCCAAGCGGGAACTTGGGGCAGGAATCCTAAACTCAAGTCCTTATCTAAATGTCCAGACTCTCGGCATGTGCAGGGTTGTGCTGTAAAAGGCCTAGGCAGCAACTCAGAGAAACAGAAGTTGTTTTTCTCGTTGCAGGTGCTCACGGCTCTTTGCCCCAGCAGGCCCACCTCCAGTTGCAGCCTCCAACCTGGCCATAGACACACTGTTCGGCCTTTCCCCCTGTGCCCCTTGCTGCTCCGATCCACGTCCTTCTCCATGGCTGAGCTTGTGACGCCCTCCTTCAAGTGTCCGCTGTGTTTCCAGGCCGGGGGCAGTCCTATCCTCCTGTCCACTGCAGACACTGTGAAGGGCTCTGTCCTGCCTTGTCTTTGGGTTTTCTAGGCACACATCCCGCCTCCCCCTAGAGGCCGCACCTTACCCAGTGGTTTCTTAATGAGCATCTGGTGGGGCAGCAGGGGGCGGTGCGCTGTGCTCCATCCAGGCTGGGTACCATGCAGAGCAAACAGACACGGTCCTGTCCTTGAGAAGCTCACAGTCCAGCCTAGTGGACACACATCCATCAATCACACAGAATAATAATGCAGTAAGTGTTCTGGACATGGGGAATGGGAGGAGGGTCTCATTTCTTCTGGGGTCTCAGGGAAGGTTTCAAAGAGCAGATGACAACTGACCTGAGGTCTGGAGAGGAGCTACCGGGTCCTAGAGGCAGGAGAGAGACGAGAGCTCCAGGCAAAGGGTGCTGAACTGCAAACACCCGGAGGAAGCATGGTGACCTCCTGGGTGGGAGGGGCTGGAGGGCTTGGGGGAAGATGGAGAGGGCTATGGGCAAGGGCAAGCAGCACCCTGATGGCTCAGCCATACAGAGCCAGAGCTGGTTCCTCCAGACCTCCACGGACTGAAAGGAGGGCGGGTCTCCAAGGGAAATTTCCAGACATTTGGATTTTGTTCCTTGTTCTGAGAGCTTTAGTGAGGGATTGTTGGAATAATCGGAATTACATAGTGTGTCAATAGACCATCACACACTGACGGAGGATGGCAGGGCACCAAGGGAGTATCAATGTACCAAGGGAGTATGCTAGTGTATCAGCGGAGTATCGTAGTGCCCGGTCTTTTGCAGCCTACTCAGGAAGTGACATCCCAAGTCATAGGCTAGCCCACCCTCAAGGAGAAGGGATACACAGGGATGACTATCAGAAGATGGGATCAATAGGGGGGCCCTCTTAGAGCCTGCCATCCACACCCCAGCATTGAAGATTTAGGGTAGGCAAAAGGATTAACGTTTTGGCTAAAAAGTTCTCATCTCGGGAAATGAGAGGTTCAAGCCCCTTTAGAGGAGGATTTTTTTTTAATGGAAAAGATTTTCATGCGTCCTGTTGCTCCCAGTGGCTGGTGTCAAGGCAGGGGCCTCTCAAGGTACTCCCCAGCCCCGTTCTCCCAAATGAACATCCCCAGGCTGACAGCTGTGGAACAGGAAGGGTGACCTAGGCCAGTCCCCACTGTTGAAGTGTCCCTCCTCCCAACCCCCAGTGAAATGCAATGAACTTACCAAGTGTGCATCAGCAAAATGATTGATTTCTTCCCTCCAAAGTTTGAATCTGGCTTTACTCTGCCAGATGGATTCTCTTCATTCTTGTTACATGTGCTCTTTTGAATCACAAGATATAAAGTAGATTTTATGATCAGTTAGCTCATCAAGAGATAGACATCAGTATAATTACAGCAACACTCAAGATGCTGCTCCATAAAGAAGTCTAAACTGTTTCCTTTTTTAATTATGAAAATTTTCAAAGATATAGAGAAGTAGAAAAAATCCTACACTTATACAATGAACAGCCATGGCCTAGGTTCTATAATGAACATTTTATTAAACTTGCTTTTTCTCTCTTCTTTCCGTCTCGCCATCCATCATTCCACATAATTTTTTGGAATTATTTCAAAGTTGCAGACCTTAGTACAAGGAGGTCCAATTTTTAAAGTTTTAGATTAGTGCCAAAATTCAATGGATTGAGATTTTATAGGATTAGGGTGGATACAGGTGTTGTCATTGTCTTCTAGGACAACTTTATCTCCTTCCAATTCATCCAAAGAGCATACCTAACAGATTTTGACCCAGGAATTTTAGGGTAACTTCCCGATGTTAAAAATGTATGCCAAAAAAAAATTGTCATTCACATTGATTAATTCACTCATTCATTCATTTGAAATACTGGTTGAGGTCTTTTTAGGCGTCAGGCATTGTTTGAAGTAGTTAGCAGGCATCTCAAGACTAGAACAGTAACAGTATGTTGTATATAGAAGATGCTCAGGAAATATTAGTAGGACAATAAAATGAGTCTCTGAGCTTGCTGGCAATGCCAGTCTGGGAATTTGGTTGGTTGATTTATTGTTCTGTCTGGTGATGGTTCAACATCTTTCTCTCACCTTTCACAATGTGTAAACATAGCAGTTTGTCCAAAAAGATGTATACATATTACATTTATAAATGCCACCATTTTGTTTATAAATTATTTAAAGCTCTGAGCCCCAGGTTCTTAACTATACAAAGGGGGAACCTGACTACAGGCTTGTTCGGGAGATGAAATAAAGTGAGCCTTAAAAAGCACACAGTGCCTACTTGCAGAAAGCCCACCATACCACTCGCTCTAATTTTCCTTGTGACCAGAACCACTCTGTGCCATCTCAGGAACTCCGAACGGGAAGGAAGGGGTCATTATGACCTTGGCTCCTGTTACCCATCCCCACAGCAAGCCCCACCTGCTTTGTTCTCTTCCACCTGGCGTCAAGACGGAGGAGCCTTGTCTCTCAGCGCTGGGCCCTAAGTCTCCCTGAGCAGCTAGTGGGTCTCTCTAAGTGGCTGGGGTGCGCTGACACAGGTCCCATTCCTTACCTGATCTCCTAGTCCAGCCCACAGATCACCCACGTCAAAGTCACACTTGATGCCCTGAGGTTCCTTTTACGAAGTCTGAGCAGGCCTTTTCCAGGTCACTGCAGTGGAATTTGACCCCTGGGCCAGCCTCTCCCCCTTCCCAGAGTCAGACTGTTCTGCGGTTGGTTCCCACCAGCCTCTGAGAAGTTCAATCTCTGCCCTCTCCCAAGGAGGGCAATAAGGGCCATTTTCATTTCAATGTATCTTTATTATTACATTATTACTTTTAGATGCAAAAGCCCTATATTCTCATTGTAAAAACTTGAATGTCAAAGTAAATCCCTTTCCCCAGAAATGAGAAATCTGTGAAAATTCCTTGAGGAGTGTTTTGTATACCCTGACACTATCTTTAAACAAAAATGGATAACACTGTGCATATTGTTTGGTCACCTGCTTTATTTTTTTTTTTAAGTTTAGGCACCTGTTGGACATCATTCCAAATTAAATCATTTTTTTTAACAGCTGTAAAGAATCCACTATATGGATGATCTATTCCCTTGCCTAGAGTAGGAATCAGGTGGTTTCAAATTCTTCCCAATTATAAATGCTGCTGCAGTGAACAGTCTTATGAATACATTGGAGGGCACTGGAGGAATCGTGAAATTGAAAATTGGAATTAAAATTGGAAAAGAATCGTTGGTTCAAATAATAGTAATAATAATAATCAAGCACTTACTAGGTCCCTGCTCCCTGCCATGGCTTAATGCTATCTGTTTATTAATTAATTTAGTCCTTAAAGTGATCTGTGCAACAGTCACTGTTAGCCTCTTTTATAGGTGTGGAAACTGAGGCACAGACAGGTGAAGTAATTGAGATCACACATCTGGTAAGAAGTGGGTTTTAAATGTTGACCTATATTCCAATATTGACCTCCAGAAAGATCTTCTCCAAATATTCTCCTGCTAATACTCGGATGGCAAGCATAGGAGCCGACCAAAGCTCTTTCTGTCTTCTCTCTAACCAAAGCAGGGCACTGAGGACCAGAGCTCACATTTACTGCGTACTTCATAAATGCTCCACACATCATCCCACTGTAACCTTCACAACCCCTCCATGAAGTAGGAACTATTATTATCCCACTTTACTGATGGGGGAACCAAGGCACAGAGGTCAATGGTTGCTTAAGATCGCCCAGCTGGCTCAGAGGGCTTTGGGATGATGACATCTGTTTAATTTTCAAATTAAAGAACATTTACATGAAAATGGTTTTGGGAAGTTCGTGGCCACCCACGTGACTCCTGGACTCCTCAGGTGACCCCCTCCTGAAAACATTCTGTTTGTATGTCATTAGTGGGTTTAATGTCATTGGGGAATGGCAGTGATGATGTCCTTGGAGGTCTATAGGAGCCCTGGGGATGATTTGGGCCAAGTGGGTGGGAGGTTCCTTCCTTGGAAGGGCCAGACTCTGCCCAGGGCCTTAGCCGGAAGGGGGTGGGGCAGGGAATCCCTGCAGAAGTGAAGAGGCAGGGTGGGGGGAGGCTTCTCCTTCCGGATAACAACCAGGTGAGCCCCTTCTGGGAGTTTCTAGCACCCCTGGGGCAGCCACCTTTGAGCTCTGCCCCATCCCTGCCCCTCCGCTGAGCCCAGGTCTGGATTCATCAACTTTGTGGCCTGTAAACCTCCCCTTCCAGGTGGGGCCTATCAGACATTCACACCTTAGTGTCAATTGCTTTACTCAGCTAATCAGATCAGCTGCCTTGCGTCCTAGAGGCCCAAACTACCCCTGAGGGCTTGTCGGGAAGGAGATAGACTTATTTCTGAGGGAAGATAGCCCAAGGGGAGTAGGGGTGACCAAGTGGTGAATCTGGAGACAAAGCTGTCTTTGGGGACCCCTGGGGGGAAGAGAGTGTGGGGGGCGCTGTTTCCTGACTGCTAGGGAAGGAGGCTGGGGTGGAGTTAACCTGGGCAGGGCGGGCTGGAGGAAGGTGCTGGACCTGGGGAGGGTTCGGAGAAGGCGAGGCTTGGGGAAAGGCTTAGGCCCCACAGTGGCCTGAAAAGCCCTCGGGTGATGAGATGGCTGCCTGAAGGTCACTACATCGGGAAGGACTGTGGCTGCACCAGAGCGTAGAGAGCCAGAGCAGGGCCCCCGTGCTCCCAGCTTCTCGGTCTGCTTTGACTCACTCCCTTTCTACTCTCTCGGAGTGAAAGCAGCAAGCTCTGCGGTGGGGGTGGCCGAGAAGTTGCCGGGGGTCTCCTTGACTGCACATCAAGCTCAAACTGCTCAGCGTGGTGGACCTGGGGCTGGCAGGTCCCTCCTCGACTCAAGTCCCCTTACACCCCACCCTCTGGCTGCACCCAATGGACCTTATGATTTCTGCTCTGAACTTGGCATGAGCTGTTCCTTCTTCCCAGAATACCTTTTCCCTGGGGATAAGGTAGGGTTACCGGTTTCTGCGGCCACATTCTCCCCGACTCACCCACTCTGGATGGAGTGTGGCTGCCCTCCACGGGTCTCTTAGTGGGATTTTCTAAAAGACACCTTCGTGCCATGTTTACAGGAGATGCTAACCTTAGAGGGACCTGGGTGAGGGCTACCCCAGGATGCTCTGTGCTGTTTGTGCAACTTTGCGGCAAGTCTAGAAATGACTTCCCAAACAAAAAGTTAATAAGAAAAGCGCCTCTTCCTCCTGGCCAACAGCCCCAGTGGTTTGATTTCAGGCCTCGAAATTTGTTTTATGAGCAGGGTGACCTTCGTGCCTGGCCCTGCTCGTCCTGGGGACAGGCTCTCCTTGTCAGTCCTCCAGCCCTGTGTATACAAACAGAACATGGCCTGATGGGAAGCTACTCAAAATACAAGCATGATGACTGACACCCCTGGTTTGGGCTTCTTAAAACTCCCAACAACCATCAGTTTGCCCCCTAATCCGCTGTTTGAAACCCCTTTGCTAAAGATCCCTGCGTTAGGTCAAGGACCCCTGAAGTAGATGCTCAGATGCTGACTCACGTTCATGGAATATTCTAGGATGTTCACCCAGGGGCAGCGGGACAGGGAGGGAAGAAGCCTGCTTGAGGGTGGTTTCAGGCACGATGCCAGGCTTGACATGGTCCCACTGGGGGCTCTGGAGTGGGCAGGACACTGGGGGCTCAGCCCGCCCTGTGGCCTTGTACCAGGGAGGCAGGCCAGCAGGTGAGTGACAACCTATGTGAGCCACAAAACTGCTGCCGCTCCACCTCGCCCCCCAAATCTCACACAAAAATCTCCCTTGCGGCCCCCCTGGTATAGGCTGCATTGTGTCCCTCCCCCCAAAAAGATATGTGGGAATCGTAACGCCCGGGATCTCAGAATGTGACCTCACTTGGAAAGAGGGTGGGTACAGATGTAATTAGTTAAGAGGGAGGGCTCCTAATCCAATAGGATCGGTGTCCTTAGGAGAGGGAGAGTCGGGTGCAGACGCGCAGGAGGAAGCCTGTGTGGAGATGAGGCAGGTAGGAGCCCTGCAGCTGGAAACCAAGAATGCCTGGGGCCGCTGGAAGCCGGAAGGGACAAGAAAGGATCTTCCCTAAAGGTCTGGAGGGACACAGCCCCGCTGACACCTTGATTTTAGTCTTCCATGCTCCAGGACTGTGGGAGAACAAATTCCTGTGGTTTTGAACCACCTGGGGTTTGGTTAACAACCCCCGACACAGGCACCAACCAAGAAGGGAGTTTAGCGAAATATGGCTCAGCCTGGCCACACCAGCACATCAGAGTGACCCCAGGCTCTTAGATGAATCTCACCTCCTCAAGGGGGACCCCTGAGCCAGGTCTGTGCCCTGCTCCTTCCTGGAGAGTATGCAGCGTGATTAAGTAGCTCATCAGGCCACTGGAAATCCCCACCCAGCTTTCTGAGGAGCCCACTCACTCTGTAGGGTGAGCATGTCAGCTGCTTCCTTCTCTTTAATTGTCCAAAACCCAGCAACGTGCCTAGCGCATTGTAGGGCCTTTCGTAGTTGACAGAAGGGAGCAGAGTTTGCAGGAAGAGAAGTGGCCATCACCCGGTTGGCACTGCAGCCCCACTGGGCGGGGGGGTGCGGGGCGGTCCTCTAACCAGACCCACACTGGTCAGCAGATCAATGTCTCCGAGAAAACGCAGCTTTTCTTCCTTTTTCCTATGGGATCCACAGCTCCAAACCTTGGTTTTACCAGTTTTCTCCAAGTGCTAATTTATCAGGACAATAGGAATCTGTGTGATGATTTACGGTTTGGAGGATTACCAGCCTGTATTTGTGGAGCTGATAGGCATTTATTACCTACTTAACCATTTAAATCGAACAAAAAAGAAAAGCCTTGTTGCACAAAAGGTGATGAATGTTTCTGTTAAAACACCCTATTAAAATGATTCATTAACATGACAAAGAATCGCTCGGTCTCCTAACACCATGGAGAAGCTGGAGGATCCCTCCAGACTGGCAGCTCTTGGAGGCTGCAAAAATTTGGGGATTTGCTTCTTCTCTGCTTGGGGTGGGCCGCAGGGGTGTATCTGCACAGGTTGTAGCCCGGCTGCTTTGTGAGATTTGTTTCTTTCTTTCTTTCTTTCTTTCTTTTTTTTTAAAGAACTCTGACCTGTGTTCACCTCTTGACAGCAACACTGCACACTGCATTTCAAGGGAGTAGCTATAAAAGAATCCCAGAGGTTTCCCCAAAGTCTGCTCCTCATTAAAACATGTCTAAACAGCTCAGGGACCAGGTAAGGGTGTCACTACTGTGCTGTCTAATGATGGTGTTAGGTCAGACAACAGCTGACACAGAATAGTGGATACTAAAACTTTAATGAATAAAAATGTGACAGAAGTGGGCCACAGTGCAGGGGTCTCCAGCTGAGGCTGGGAAGCAGGTAGGGGTACTTTGGAGCAGTCTGGGTTTGAATGCTGACTCTGCCGTGCCCTTGCTTTGTGACCTTTTCTCTGAGCCTCTGTTTCCTTGTCTGTAAAATGGAACTCATTGCTGGACCTAGTTCCTTGGGTGTTTTGCAGGGGTTAAATGAGAGGGTCACAGCAAAGGCCCTGGGTCAGTTCACAGGCAGAG